AGTGACCAATGGTAACCCCCTTATATTTTTGCGAGATTTTCAAATCCGTCGTCAAATTTTTTATTTCAAATGGGAACACCAAATTTTTAATTTTTTTCTGAAACTAGATTTTTTTGTGAGAAGAATAAGTACCCGAACTGAAACAAGTGAAATTGTTTTCTTGAATGTAAATATACATTCAGCAGCAGGGTCTTAAATTTGAACAATTTATTTTAAGAAGGTTCACAAGACAAAATAAAATTATCGTGTTAATTGATTAAATAATCGTAGGTACCTTTTGTTCCCAGATATTTATTTACACTCAAATAATCAATTTCACTCATTTTTATTATGAGAAATGGTTGTATTTAAAGTTTTTCTTTATTATTATATTTACCTACCTATCCTATGGGAGAAAAAGAAAATGTAAACTTGCGTTTAATAAACATTATTTAATTTTTTAATGTTTTCAACAAATCCTAGAGACAATTTTGGAGATGTTCCAAATTTGTAGTACTCATTCTTGTTAGAAAAAAATTTAGTTAAAAACAATAAAAGTTTGGTGTTCCCAATTGACAAAATTGACGTCGACAAAAACATTTACGACGTATTTGATGGTTAGGCTTAACGCCTGGAAATTCATATAAATGCAAGCCCGCAATGCATAACGCTTTGCCGTCTAGTATCCGCGTTTTCACAGTTCGAAACAACTTTTATATTACATAAATATATTATTTCAATTTTAATTTTTTTTATAGTTTCACAATTACAAATTTTATACTGCATATTTATACTATTTATCAAACTATATTATATTCTATAATGACACAATAAATTGAAATAAAATTTGCTTGTTGTATTTAACACATGTACAGTTGTAGATAAAAAATAAAGTAAATAAAGTAATAGTAATAAAGTAAAGCAGTAAAGTAATAAAGTAAATAAAGTAAAAATAAATATTATTTAATAAAAGCAAATAGCTAGTGACCTATATAGAGCCCTCTCACTTCTATGAGTTTTACTCTATATCCGTGGCAATGTGTTTGCCAGTTTTGAATTTTTAAATCAAGGGTTTTTATGTATGGAATCTCTAGAGTTCGTCCACTTTTGATTTTTTTGTGTGAACCAATTCGCTCATGGAGAAGTCTATGTTTGATCTAATTTCCTCAAGTATAGGTTCTGCGTCTCTAGTTAGTTCTACGGATCCTCCTATTACCACCCAGCTTAAGATATTTTTATTACTATTTTTATTTTAGGTTGTATAATAAAATTCGATATTCCTGGATTTTTGCAGTAGAAGTTGAACTTAAGCAGTACTTGCTGAGTGCCACGTACTTGAATTTGACTTTCCGTGTAGAGTTACAGTTCAATTGAGGACAAATTTGGAATCTGCGCAAAATGTAAGGGGGCTACCATACTGTTTTATATATGTTAAAAAAATAGAAAAAACCTGCTGGCGCATGTTAAAAAAAGACACACTGTATAAGGCATAATGTAAAAGATACAAAGTAGCTAATTAATTAATTGGTTTTTAATTGAATCGCGTACGCCTCACCTTCAGCACGTAACGAGACCATTTAGAAAATCCTATCCCCAATTCAACGTTGTACAAGGGATTAGGATTTCCATAATACAGCCCGTATTAATGGAGAAATGTGATGTCCGCAGAATATCCCCTTTCCGGCATATTTTACAATTTCAGGATAAATTCCGATTAGAAGGTCCCTGCGAAGGTGGAGGCGGAGGCGGAGGCGTTGTCGTTTGCATAATTCCTCTACTTAACCGTTTAATCTTTAACTATCAACATTGAAACACTTTATTTGTGCACCTTTGGGTGTTGCTAGAGGAAAATCCTCCAAGAAAAATGCAAAAAACCCCAAAAATATCGAAAAAAATTTTATAGTCTTTTTCGGTGTAAAAGGCTCTTAGGACATGTTTTTTACGTATTTTTCAAGAAAAACGCAAAAAATATCGAAAAAAATTATTGTCTTTTTCGATGTAAAAGGCTCGTGGGACACTTTTTTAATGAATTTTTCAAGAAAAACGCAAAAAACAAAAAAATCGAAATTTTTTAAATTGTATTTTTCGATGTAAAAGGCTCGTAGGCACGTTTTTTACGTATTTTTCAAGAAAAATGCAAAAAACCCCAAAAATATCGAAAAAATTTTTGTTGTCTTTTTCGATGAAAAAGGCTCTTAGGACATGTTTTTTACGTATTTTTCAAGAAAAACGCAAAAAAATCGAAAAAAATTATTGTCTTTTTCGATGTAAAAGGATCGTAGGACACGTTTTTTACGAATTTTTCAAGAAAAACAAAAAAAAAAAAAAAACAACAAAAAATCGAATTTTTTTTATTGTCTTCGTTGATGTAAAAGGCTCTTAGGCACGTTTTTTAACGTATTTTTCAATAAAAACGCAAAAACCCAAAAATATCGAAAAAAAATTTTATTGTCTTTTTCGATGTAAAAGGCTCTTAGGACATGATTTTTTGCATATGTTTTTTAGGAAATACGAGGAAACAACAATAATTGGATAAATCCAGAAAAAAAAACCCTTTAACTATATTACGTATCTCATATAAAGAACAATCTGATTCCAACACCCTACGATATTTATGCATTAATTTTGGTATTTTTTTCCCTCAACATATTCTTTTTTCTGATGAATCCACTTTCACCAGTGGTGGTTATTTTAAATCTACTGACATCCTTGTCTTGATGATGTTGACCTGGTGTAAAAACAAAACGTCTGGGCCGTATTTGTTCAAAAATACCACGAACTTTATTAGTGTAGGTAGAATAAACAAATGAGTAAGTTGAATGAAAACAGAAATATAATTAATCTTCGTAAAGAAGTCCTCGAATTTCTCCCAGACTTTGTCTGACCTTTCTGCATAGTTATTGCAAATAAAAGCGTGCTAATACAATGTTCTAAAGTTGAATAACAGTTATCACGAACCATGATTATTTTCTCACTTCTACAGCATAAACAAATTGAAAAAGTGAGTAAATTATTACAGAAAAGTAAGATCGTATCTGTACAAAAACGTACCTTACACTGCTCAGAAAAAATCAATTATCAATTAATATTTATTGTATCCAGTGTTTGTATTCTTACATTTTTTATTTTTGTGTTGATTCTAATTTTTTATGATAAAAGCCAAATCATTTTGTAATTTTGTACTATATCTAATAATTATTATTGGCCACTAATTATATTTTCAGTGTATTCCTTAAACAAGATCCTGGAAAAATCCTTTAAAAAAAGCTATACTTTTGACTGGCATGTGCTATTAACCTATTTAGCGGCAAAAATTCTCAGGAAAGTTGACGGTTAGTCTTAACGCCTGAAAATTCTTATACATGCAAACCCGCAATGCTTCAATGCGCTCATGTCTAGTATCCGCGTTTCCGTTAAAAAACAACTTTTATACTACATAAATATATTATTTAAATTTTATATTATTTTATGTTTTTACAATTACAAACTTTATATTATATATTTATATTATTTAACTAATTCTATCCTATAATGCTCAAAATGTCACAATCATAAATTGAAATCAAATCTGCTGGTTGTATATAAAAAACGGTTATAGATAAAAATAAGTGAAGTTAAAAAAAATGATTTAATAATAACAAAACAGCCAGTGACCTGCATGGAGCCCTATCATTTCTCTGAGTTTTACCCTATTACCGTGGCAATGTGTTTGCCAGTGGTGTGGATTGTTAAATCAAGGGTTTACTATGTATGGTTCCTCCAGACTTTGTCCACTTTTGATTTTTTTGTTTGTGACCCATTCACTGATGGAGAAGTCTATGTTTGGTCTTGTTTTCTCAAGTATAGGTTCTGGGCCTATAGTTGGTTCTACGGACCTCCTCTGGCCAGTTTAACTGCATGCCCTGGCATTACAATTAATGTTGTTGTTTTCACTGGTTTTAGATGCACTCACTGATTCCGGATGTGACAGGTTTACATATTACCACCTAGCTTAAGCTATTTTTATTACTATTTTTATTTTAGGTTATGTAATAAAGTTCGATATTCCTCGACTTTAGCAGTAGAAGTTGAACTTAAGCAGTAGTTGCTGAGTGCCACATACTTGTGTTTGATTTTCAGTGTTGTGTTGACAATGAATGACAATTAAAAAGGCAGTTCATTTCTTGCAATTGTTCTTCATAAACATATTCTACACCATACACGTTATTGCGTTAACTGACACAAATGACTCTTATTGAAAGTGAAGCTCACAACAGATAAAGATGTAATAAAGAAGAATGTGGAGTAGCCATAACAGTAAGAAAAGGTACATGGTCAAAAAGGAGCTAATTATCGTTTGATACTATTATTTATTTACATATTCATGGGTAAAACAATACACAACTACAAATTACAGTTCTGATGAACTTATCATAAGTACAAGCTGCATTACAGACTGGAAGAAGTATGTCTTCAAAACTTCCAAAACATTTAACAACCACTAAGGATAAATCTACCCACAACAATCCTGACGATAAACAATGTTTCCTATACCCTGTCATTAAAGTTTCAGGAATGGTTAGGGATATCTTATTTTAAAAGACATTATGTTATTTTCATTTAAGCTATGTGGTCGTGTACAAAAAGGACAGGAGTAGGTTGGGAACAGCTCCTGGATCGTTGTCCTTGAGCACTGGTTCTTACATTCAGCGGTGACAGTTTTTGCTTGTATGAGAGGGTTTTGGGGTCGACCCCTGGCCTGGGATTTGGGTCGTTCCTTGATTAGTCCTGGCAGGGTTTTGGACACTATTGCCTGGCACACTTTTCAATACATGGAAATGTTTTTTTTCAGAATTGGTGTTTCCTTTGAGAGGTTCCTGCGAGGATTACAATACTACGAAGGTACAATTTGATGGAGAAATGTCATTTTATGCAGTAATACTTTTGAAACTCCCGCTCAATGGATTATGAGCCAGTCAGAATATAGTGGGGAGCTGGCCTCAGGATAGATAAACGTTTCAAAATAAAGTGATAACGAATTTGGGTAATCCATTCCAACTGGCTGGCCTGAGCTAGTCTTCCTCGAGTTCGTCCCGGGGATGGATGTTCCTTATGTGGACTGGACTTCCTTATTCCTTACTGGCACTCCAGCCACGCGATCCTCGTCGGTTTTGTAATGACGAGTTGTCATACTTTTTGTCGTACCTACTGTTCGTCGTTTTACGTTTAATTACCACTGCTTCCAATTGACATCCAGCCCATTTCGGACTGTCATGCTGAATAGGGATTGCACAATCCACCCAGTTTTATTTTACACTTCATCAATCCGTTTCGTTCTCCCCGACGCTTTCTAATCCGTCGGTGGTTTTTCAATTTTGAAGTTTACAAAACGGCCATGGATCCTCCCGTTGAGGCAGGACACATAGAATACATAGATTCGGATGAATATGACGAATTTCTCGCTTTGTCGGACATCGAATCGTCAAGTCCGCAGATTCCAGGAAGGACGCAAGGTACATTTTTTCACATGGGATGTTGTGGCCCCCGTGGCACATACTTTTATGGTGCGTGGTGCGCTTTCATCCTTATCAGGCCATAAGGACTCACATCATCCCACGTTCTTAAACTGACTTGCACGAAGAATCAAACTATGAAAGTTTATGATCTTTGACATTTTTTAAAGTTGTTCTAAAAAAAAACAAATTTTGGGAATTTAAACACTATTTACTACAAATACGTTATTGCATGTTTCTATAATTATTCAGGAATGTTCTCTATAGCCCATACTTTTGCTATGACTTACTTTTATCCTTATCAGTAACCATAGGGACTCACATCATCCCAAATTCTTTGAACTGGCTTGCACGAAGAATCAAACTATGAAAGTTTGTGTTCTTTGACATTTTTTAGTTGTTCTAAACAAAAATAATAATAAAAAAAAGCAAATTTTGGAATTTAAGTACTATTTACTACAAATACGTTATTGCATGTTTCTGTAATTAATCAGAAATGTTCCCTATGGTCCATACTTATGCCATGACTTACTGTCATCCTTATCAGCATCCGTAGGGACTCACATCATCTCAAATTCTTGAACAGACTTGCACGAAGAAACAAACTATGAAAATTTATTTCTTTGACATTTTTTAAAGTTGTTCTAAAAACAAATTTTGGGAATTTAAATAGTATTTACTATAAATACGTTATTGCATGTTCCTATAATTGATCAGAGATGTCCCATGGCCCATAGTTATGCTATGGCTCATTTTCATCCTTATCAGTATCCATAAGGACTCACATCATCCCACATTCTTGAACTGATTTGCATAAACAATCAAACTATGAAAGTTTGCTTTCTATGATTCTTTTCAAAATTGTTCTAAAACAAAAATTTAATAATAAATAAAAATAAAACAAATTTTGTAAATTTAAGTACTTTATAGCATAAGTACATAATATTCATAAATGTGCCCATAGTTATGCCATGACTTATTTCCATCCTTATCAGTTTTCATAAGGACTCACATCTTCCTATGTTCTTAAACCGACGTGCACAAAGAATTAAACTATGAAAGTTTAAAAAAAAGCAAATTTTAAGAATTGAAGTACTATTTACTATAAATACATTATTGCATATTTCTATAATTAATCAAAAATGTTCCCTATGGCCCATACTTATGCCATAGCTATTTTCATCCTTGTCAGTATCCTTAAGGACTCACATCATCCTATATTCTAAAAACCAACTTGCACAAAGAATTAAACTATGAAAGCTTGGTTTCTTAGACTCTTGTCAAAGTTGTTCTAAAAAAAGCAAATTTGTAGAATTTAAATACTATTTACTATAAATACGTTATTGTGTTTATATAATTAATCAGAAATATTCCCTATGGCCCATACTTATGCCATGGCTTACTTTCATCCTTATCAGAAACCATAAGGACTTGCATCATCTCAAATTCTTGAACTGACTTGCACAAAGAATCAAACTATGAAAAACAAAAATGTAAAATTAAATTAAGAAGGAATTAAAGAATAAATAAAACCAGTTTTGTGAATTTGAAGACTATGTAGGATAAGTACATTATTTATTTATCTTTAATTAATTAGAAATGCTCCCTATGGCCCATGCTCATATGTCGTACGGCTTACTTTCATCCTTACCAGTAACCATAAGGATCAGGTCATCTCAAGTTCTTAAACTATCGTGCACAAAGAATCTAACTATGAAAGTTGGTTTACTTAGAATATTTTCAAGTTCTTCTTTAAAAAAAAGTCGTATGAATTAATTTTCTCTTTATCAGTAACCATAAGGATCCAATCATCCCAAGTTCTTAACTGACTGTCACAAAAAGTCAAACTATGAAAGTTTGTTATATTTGAATTTTTCAAAGTTGTTTTACAAAACAAGCAAATTTTGTGAATTTAAATACTATGTACTATAAGTATATTATTTTATGTATCTATAATTAATCAGAAATGCCCCCTATGGCCCACACTTATATGTTGTAAGGCTTTCATCCTTCCCACTAACCATAAGGACTCACATCATCCCAAATTCTTAAACTGACTTGTACAAACTATGAACATTTGTTTTCCTTAACCCCTTTCAAAGTTGTTCGAAAAAAAGAAAATTTTTAAAATTTATTTTATTTATTTAAATATGCATTATTGTATTGATAACCAAATGGAAATGCAGCCTATGATCACTACTTTATATGATGTATGGCTTGCTTTTATCCGTATCAGTAACCAAAAGGATTCACATCATCCCAAGTTCTTGTACTGACTTGCACAATGTATCAAACTATGAAAGCTATGTTTTACTCTTAAAAATTGCCTTGAAGACACAAATTTTGTGTACTTAAACCAAGTTAAATGCATTATTCTGTGTATCTATAATTGGTTGGAAATGTCACCCATGACCCATACTTTATATTGTGTTTGTCTTACTTTCATCTTTATCATTTTAACTTCTCTAATAAAATTCTCAGTTCTTATATACATTTTGTATGTTTTAAATTTGCTGAAATCACCCCATGGCCATACTTATGTGATGTATGGCTTGCTTTCATCTTTTTCAGTAACAGAAACTGTCATCATTTCTAGTTCTTAATCTTCCTTGAACACACATCACAGTATGAAAGTGTGTTTTCTTTTACTCTTGATGAAGATGAACTTATAAATTTTTGTTTACTCGCACTGATTTAAAAAAAAAGTTTATTTCCTTGAATGATTGCAGTTCAGCCTACTTGCAACGAGTTTTATATGGTTCACAGTGAGCCGGTCAAATTTAAGACTCACAACCGCAATGTGTTCATTACTGGTCAAGATATTCACCTGCAGATCATTGCATATGAGAGAAGTATCACGACTCATCTTCTGAACCCCAATCTGTAAGTGCGACAGCGTGCTGCATGCTTGCTTGCATCGGGGGACGGCTGTGAATGTGCGATCAGTGAAAATAATTTTAAAGAGCATGTCATTGAACCGCATACTTTTTACGCTAGTTGGTGCTTATACTTATAGATTGTATGCTTTAATGTAAATATACTGTTTTTTATTTTTATTTTATATAATTTTATTTATACCTAATAATCAATTAAACCATTGTTGAAGTTTGTGTATAGTACTGGTGTATTATTTGCAGAAAATAACACAAATGACAAGAGAAAACAATAGGTGTCATTAGGTAAAATTACATCTGCATTTATATAATACTAATTAGTTCTCTGTGGTGAAAAAATTCAACAAATTAAAGCTTCTATTTCAGTTGGCTTGCGGTGGGTTTGAATGGCTAATTTTCCCATGGCTCTGGGTGGAATCTACAATGAAAATCATTCTCACACCTTGTTTTATTAAATGTGCACTTAATTTCATGGTGGCTTGAATAGAAATTAAAAATATAAATTATTTGATCATTAATTGTGATATATTGAATAATGATTTATTGCATAGTTCATTGTAGATTTTTTCTGAATAGTTTTTATTGGATGCTATTGTACAGGACCTTGGTGGTTGAGTGGTCAGGGGATCTGGCTCTTATTGCCGTTCTGGGTTCGAAACCCGGCCCAAGGATTTTTAATTGAGAATAATATGAAAGAAGTATTGTAATGTGGTTTGAACGCGACACCCAACGGGTAGTTCGATATTAAGCCCTCCTGTTTGACAGGAATTACTTTACAGAACATTCATACAACGTAATAACAAGGTGCTTAAACAATGATAAACATAAATACCACTTTATGTTTCATTCTTCTTTTACACGACACTTGCAAATTAGAAGTGTCAACTAAGTAGACAAAAGCTGCTATTGTAGAAATTGTAAAACAGTTCAGTGACATTTCTAAAACTTAGAACTGATGATAAATGAATTTTTGGTGATTTTTTTTTCCGTTTTTATATACAACAAACAAAAAAAAATCTCGATTTTATAGTCAAGAGGATGAATGAGTTTTATGACCCATCAAGGGGTATTTATAAAGTATTGTAAAAAAAAAATCAACCAGTCAACTGATAAATAAAACATGTAAGTAGATTAAGCTTTTGATAAATAAGTTTTGCATTGTAAACGTTCAAGGATCCTTGTTTTACAATTGTTTATCATTGAATTTACTATTTATTTATTTTAAAATAAAATTTCGAACTTGTCGCTCCTACAACAATAGTGATTTTTATCTCATGATTAAGAAAATTCAAATGAAATCCTATTAAATCATCATCATCATCTGACTGTTTTTGAATTTTGGGAGTGCATTCACCTAATTTTTAGGCTTGAAATGTTGGCTGAGTCTAGTGATTGCCCAATTCTTTCAGCCTTGAGCTAATGTACACTCCTTCAAAGAATTAGTCACTATCACTTCAAAACAGAAATTTCTTTTTTTATTTCTTTTATAGTATATATTTTCCTCGGCCAAAATAAATCTGTACTTATCTTTTCTATTATGCTTAAGTGTTAAAATAATTAAAAATAATTTAAAAAATTAGTATATTTATTGTGATTTTAGTTCTGTTCAAAGGAATATTATTATTATTTTTTTTTAACTGATTGCATTTTCACATGTACTTCTGCGAGGAATATTTCCTTATGTCCTTGACTGGAAATAGTGATTTCGAGTCATGACATCGCCAATCAAGGCTAGATGTTTAATTATTCTTCTCAAGCTTGTTCAATTTTTCTTCCTTTACTTTTTTTATTGATCGGTATATTTTTCACTATTTTTATTGAACTTGCATTAAATCAAACATTAGATAATAAAAAGTGAAACGATTATTTTACTTTTGTTAGAAAGTGTAGATGTGATTATTTAATAGCGCCTCCATGGCCTAGTTTTACACGAAGGCTAGAAGGCAGGTTTTTCTTGCTTTTTTTTTGTTTTGATATTTTATTAATAGCTCCTTTAACCCAGAAGTTTAAAATAGCTTACTGCTTTAGGACAAATATAAATCTATTGATGTAATTTATAACTTCCTATATTTTCTCTCTCTCTCTCTTTTAACATTATTCAAATGAACTAATCTCCCTCTCCCAAATTGTTCTATTAAAAGTTTTCAAGTAAATAAATACTTTTTATTTTAAAAAGAAAACATACAAATTACATTTTGAATAGTACACAAAGTATAATGGCATGGCTAATGCCGTCTGCCAGAGGATAGATTCTGCTGATTTGTTTATTTTAATAAATTTTTAATGTCATTGTGTTTCACACTACATCATTTTAATATATATACTTTTATCTTATTATTCAGTTAGTTTAAAAAAAAGTAATTTATTTATTTTTATTTATATGGGTGAGTAGAAATATTTTGATTGAATATAAAAAAATATTTTTTGTGTTGTATAAATTCACTTTTTTCTACATCCTACATGTATTTGCTAAATTTAAACAATGTTTATAAATCCCAGGCCCTGAAGATGATCTCAATAAAGACCAAAACGTTGGCATGATAAAGAAAATGTTTTTCTGAAACCTACATCACACCAGACCGCATCTCACGATTTCTGAACAATCATTTTTTTATTACTCTTAAAAAATTTATATAATCAAATCAGTATTACATTTGACATTATGTACTATATTTGAAATTAAAATACTATATTTGAAATTATTGTATATGTTTATAAATAAAACAATTGGAGATATAGAAATAATTATAAAAAAAGTAATAAATACTAAACAAACACTTAATAAAAAATGAAGAAACATTTATTAAAAATCGTTAAAAGTGTCTATTTTTTAACATGTATGTTTAAACAGTGTATACAAATTTTTGTGAAAAAGTTGATTCTGTACATAATGGTAAGATTCATTCTCAGTGTTTTAGATTGCAGATATGTAGATATATTTTATCTTAATTAAAAACCTTAATTAATTGAAAGATAGTAATTGGTCAAGCGCACCACGAGACTAGAGAATTGCAGATATGCCTAATTTTACCCATGTATGACCTTGTGTGGTCAGAAATCTCACTTTAACAAGGACAATTTTATTTTTATTTTTTTATTTTTTTTTGTCTTGCCGGTATTTTATTAATTTTTGTGTGACAAAATTTTGTTAATTCAATAAACGACTTTTTAAATTGCTTAAAAATACTGAATGATCTTCTATTGCTTTTCAAATTAATTTTAATTGCTAACAATTTTCCTTAATTGAAACAGCAAGTTTATATAACTTACTGTTTGCATGCCTCAACACAGTATTTACCTATAGTGATATTTTTGGAAATAATAAAAAAGGGCCTGACAAAACAAAAATTACACAAACCCACCATTGAAGATGATGAGATACTGAAGCAGACAAACAGCAAGAATAGGCAAAAGGGACGTCTCAACTTACAGACGATTCGTCTAACGCTACAAATGTGTTAAAAAACCCTATTAAAAGAAAGTGGCGGCCCTTATTGGTAGCCCTAAAAAGATCTGACTCGTAGAAGAGGGTTTATCCTCACCCGATTAAGAATAGGCCATGCGGGTTTGACACACACTTACTTTTTTGGCATACGTATCTGATATGTAAAGAATGGTCCCTCGACTTGTACCATTTAATTGAAGGGTGCCACTCCTTGGCTCCATATAGAGAGTGTGTAGGAATGCAACCCGATATGAGAATTGTCCTTGAGCACGGCAGCGAATATCTTGGTCCCCTGTTCTGATTTTTACAGGAAACGGCTGTATTATTTTTTATAATATTGATAGTTTTGTGTATCTAGTGTGAGTTGAGATTGAATGTATTTATTAGCATGAATGTGTAGTGTGAGAGGGTCAATGGCGAAATATTGAATACTCACTCCACCAATCTTCAATTATAATATAATAGGTTAAAGGGTGATGTAGGAATGTCGCCCTAACTGACTGAATAGTATGTAAAGACAAAATGTATTTATGAGTACAAAAAAAATGTTTCCTACATTGAACATAAGTTAGGTTTATTGAGCATAATGCAGAATAATTTCCTATACTGCTTGCATATAATTGTCTATAAATGTTGCTTTTTAAGCCACATTCACGCAAGAAAAGCATTCGTGAATGTTAGTTTGGACTAGTCACTTGGACTCAGTACATAAAAGGTATTGATCATTTGTACTCGTTCGGTGTGAACACAATTCTGAACATTCGAACAATTCTCGATAAAAAGGGCTTGTGAGCCATTTTTTCTGACTCATTCTCTGACTTCTCCTCTACAGTTTGTGCCTCTTTCCTCGACCTTGATCAAGAAAATGTTAAAGTCTTCAGAAGATCGAGTTGAGCCTTTCACATCTCACAGTTCACTAACAACTCTAGCTTTTGTGATTTACAATAAAATAAATCGAATATCTGAAGCAAATAAATGCATATGGTCGTCTTTAATTCTTCTCCATACGTGGTTTCGTTTTCCCTTCCTGAAGTGAGTGTATTTATTGGCGAGAATGTGTGAGTGTATGGGTGGGTAGTGGTCGGAATATCGAGTATACTACAGACCCACCAAACTAGGATAGATATCTCTTTGTGTGTTTTGGATAGAATGAATGTATTTATTGGCGCGAAAGTGAGTGTGTTTGGGTGGGTTGTACAGGAATATCGAGTACTCCACAGTCCCACCGATTTAGGTTAGTATTAGGCTATAATATCTTTTAGAGTAAATGGGCGGAGGCACTGTTCTAATATTAAATGCGCCAGTGGCTCCGCATTTTTTTAATTTGTAACTACAGAATGATTTGTTTGAGTGAATGTATTTATTAGTGTGATAGTAGTGTATGCATGGGTGGGTCTATGGTGGAATATCAAGTACCCCATAAACCCACCAACCTAGGTTAATATTTTAGATTAATTGTAATTTTAATTGTAAATAATGTATGGATGTATTTATTAGCGTGAACGAGGGCGGGTCTTCAGAGGAATATTGAGTACTCTGAAACCCGCATATAGGTTAGGCTAGGATTGAATGTTAGTGAATGAGATAGTTTCAGAGCCTTTTCACCATGTGTGGGAGGGCTAAAAATGTAGAAATAACATCCCAGAACACAACCAGAAAGATCGCCAGACTTCCTACAGAAAAGCTAACTTAAAAAAAAAAAAAAAAAAAAAAAAAAAAAAAAAAAAAAAAAAAAAAAAAAAAAATTTAAATGTGAGGTGCCGGCAATAGCCCAGGCAGCTAGCCGGTTGAAAAAAAAGAAAAAATGCAAAAAACAAAACAGTGATCCTCGAATATCACCCACCCAGGAGTTTGGCAGTCCTGGGTCAGACCTTGGTCTTATCCATCCAGCTGCCAAGGGCTCTAGGGTCTGTCAACAGCCAGATCATTCACACTCTTTTAAATACATGTTGCAAACATTTACATGCTATTCAGTCAGTTAAGGCGATATGCCTACATCACCCTTTACACCTATTACATTATAATATTATAACTGACCCTCTCCCACTTACATTCATGCTAATAAATACATTCATGCTCAGCACACTAGGGGATGCAAAAATTTCACTACTCTATACATTAAAACAACCCTGTTTCCTCTAAGATCAAGTACTGCTCAAGTGCTCAAGAATAACACTCATATCAAGCTTTCCTTATCGAGTAACTTTTTCTTTGCATGCCACCAGACACCCCCCCCCCCAAAGTAAGTGGCCATGTGTTAACCTCACATGACCTATCGTTAATCGGGTGACAATGACCCTTCTTTGATAATGGGTCAGATCCAATATCAACAATGCTTTCATATGTAGGAGCTTTTCTGCCTATCCAGCCGACGTTTTAATCACGTTTTTTATTGCATTTTTAATGTCAGGGGGTCAAATTGTGGAGGTTAAGTCTGAAGGTTGGGATGTCCCAGCCTTGGCTGCCTCGTCCGACTTAAAGAAGTACTGAGAGATGTGCACATTTATTAGTATTGTGGCTCATTTTCAGCTGCTGGCAAAATATTATTTTCACACTAACATTATTACATATTTTTACATTGATTAAAGGATGCCTTCAACAGGCTTTCATAGAATTTTTACTTTCAAACATATATAATGGATTTTGTATGTAACATATTAAACATATTTCATTCAGAAAGCTGGGAAAGTAACAGTGGTTGCTGGCTCCCTTCGGATATATGCAAATGATAAATGTTGTATCGCATTACGTAATGTATATATTGTACAGATGGTAATAAATTAAAAAAAAAAAAAAATAAGTGCATGCAGCCTACTAATGAATTATTTACTTTTAAAGTTGATTAAATAGTCTGTAATTTTTAGGTATACAATTCACTTGAGACATGGAGATTTTTCTTGGACAATAAAGAAGCGATACAAGCACATTTTGCACCTACATCAGCAGCTCAAGATGTACAGAGCAAGTCTCAATGTTCCTTTCCCGACAAAAACGCACAAAGAACGTAGAACGAGCTTTAAAAATGAAGTTTCAAAGGACAAATCTGTGAAGAAACACTTTCCAAGGTTTGTATTTCAATTGTATTGTTTGTTGAGATTTAATAAATTTTTTAAGTATTAAAATTTTAAACCTAGATTTCCAGCGAAACCAGAAGCACTGGTGCCATACGATAAGATTGACGAGAGGATGAAACAGTTGGAGGATTATCTAAACAATTTGTTGAAAATTAAGCTTTACAGAAACCATCATGAAACGGTAACTAAAAACGTTACTATGAAGAAACTAAGCGATGACATCAGTTTTAATCAAGCCACTTTGACCCAGCCTTAATGAAACATTTTGTTCACTTTTTCAACAAAAATTATTTTTTTCTCTTATTTAGTGTGCAATTAAACTGAAATAGAACTTCTAACAATTTTTTATTTTTTATTTTATTTTAAGATTGCCTTTCTCGAAGTGAGTGAACTCTCGTTTATCGGCGCCCTGGGCGTGAAAGGGATGGAAGGGCCCGTTCAGAAGAGAACTCGCAGTGCTTATCCAAGAACTGCAGGTTGTAATATATGTGGATGTTGTGACAGTGGATTATGTGTTAGGTATTGTTTTGGCTATTTTAAAATGAATTATAATTGGCAATTTTTCCCTTGTGTAGATTTTTTTTTCAATAGAGCAAAATTTCAAAATTTGGTGTTCACCAATACCGACACATAATATTTTGTAGCTTGATTATCCTGGTCCATCTCACTGGTTTTGTTTGTTAAGAGCATTTCAGCATTTTTCTGTCTTCTATGGGTGGTTTGTTAATTTACATTAATTGATTATTATATAAATAAAACAGTTTCTTTGTAAAAGGGCATAATTGAAAAATAAATAACACCACCTTCATCGGTGAGAATAGGCAGACCAGGTTGTTCAGAGATTTCGAACTTGTAGCTCGATCATCTTTGATCATCCTCGTCTGGCTATTCCTTCTGGATTTGCCTGTCAGTCTAGATGATAGGAGATGATCAAGCTATAAATAAATTATTCATTAAAAATTAAAGTTAAAAGAAACAAAAGCTATATTTTGAATTCCAATAACTTGCTGGGGTGCTGGTGTTTTTGGAAAAAATGCAAGCATTTTATTTTTGTAAGAACTGTTGGTATTGATAGGGAATTATTTGATTTTTTGTTTGTTTTTAAAAGGTTATTTTTCATTTAATAATTTGCAAAACTAGAGTGGATTTATTGTCTTTGTACAATAATATTTAAAGTATATAAGCATGGTGCGATTGGCTGTAGGCTTAGTTCGTACTTTTTATTGCGTAGAGCACTCAAGATAGTGAAATATGCAAGTTAATGGAATTAAAATGCTATATTTTAAATTATAATAATGTTGTATTGAGGCTTTTTGCATGGATTAGTTAATTATGTAAAGTGTTGTCAGTTTTTGTTTTCAAATATTTGAAAAATTAATTAATTGTTTTGTTTTTTATAACTTCAGATGCCATTACATATGTGGAGATCTTTGCGCTACATGGAGATCGAGGTGGTTGATTGTGAAAGACAGTTTTGTTGCATACATCAGGCCAAAAGATGGAAGGGTGAAAGCCGTCATACTTTTTGACTCCGGATTCGATGTCTCTTCTGGAGTTTTCACGACCGGAAGGAGGAAAGGTCTTCACATCACCAACATGTCGAGGTATTTGAACTGTCGTCGTAAGTGCGAATAGATCTTATTGGCTTTTTCTAACAGGCAAATATTGCTTAATTGCCCTACTCGGAGGACAGCTCGTGAATGGCAGGCTTATATAAAAGATATGGTCAGACAGAAAGGTAAATTTTCCATTTTGAATTACTATTCTAATATAAATTACCAAAATTTGTTTATAAAAGCTTAACATGAGGAAACAGATTGGGTAAATATTATAAAATGTCTGTTCTTATCGAAACTTATAATCGACAGTTATTAAATATTTTGTAATTTTACACTAGGAGCTGATTTTACTCAGAGGAATCGTTATTTTTCTTTCACGCCCGTGAGGCCGTTTGTAAAATGCGCATGGTTTGTCGATGGAAAATCGTACATGGCGGCAGTCGCGACTGCTTTGGAGCAGGCAAAGGAAGAGATATACATTGCAGACTGGTGGCTCAGCCCTGAAATATACATGAAGAGGCCAGCGCTACAAGGAGACTATTGGAGGCTTGATAAAATTTTACAAAGGAAAGCCGTGCGTAAATTGCACCCTCACTAAAATCATTCGAATATCATCTAAAAAAAATCTCATTTTAGGCCGATGGTGTAAAAATATTCATCCTTTTGTATAAAGAAGTTGAAATGGCAATTGGCATCAATAGTTTCTACAGCAAACAAAAACTTACCGCTGAAGGCTCACAGAACATAAAAGTATTGTAAAAATTTAGAACAATAAGTATTAAAAGTCGCAAATATTTTCTTTATTAACATTTTTCTAGGTTTTACGCCATCCTGATCACGCAAAGGCGGGTATTCTTTTCTGGGCTCATCATGAAAAAATGGTCGTCATAGATCAAAGTTTGGCATTCCTTGGTGGCATTGATTTATGCTATGGCCGTTGGGATGATTACAAGCATAGGTTTGAAAATAAATATAATAATAACATTTAGAAATTAACCTAAAGTCTATTACATAGGAAAAACTTAGAGATATTATTTCAATTTTAAACCCTTACTTAATTGTAAGTTTGAATAAAACTGAATTAATGCATCTTTAAGGTATTGCATTTATTTTTAATACTTAGGTTAACTGATCTTGGAAGTCAAGTAGATGGAGGAAATAAATTTCAAGATTTTATGTCCCTCTCTCTTGCAACTCATGCTCTTGCCGCTTCAGTCTTAGCATTAAAGTAAGCATCTCGTGCTTTCTAAAACAGTCCTTCTTTAAAGACAATATAAAACTTTTTTATTTATCATTTTTAGGTCAAATGGAGAAAATGGGAATGTGAACAATAACACAGATGGAGATGAAGTTTATATGCAGCCGACCGAGGAGAATGTTAAGTGCAATACACCTGAACTAGAGAGAAAAAGCCTCTTTGATACTGTATGCACTTATTAAATATTGAAACTTTCGATAAATTAATTATAAACAACTTTTAAAAATTTTTTTATCTAAAGGTAAAAACACGTGGTAAGGAATGGATGAATCTATGGAGTTTTAATTCTGATGAAGATGAGGATATAGACTTGGTTGATAATACGAAAGATACTAGAAATATGATAGAAAGAGAAAGGGAATCTGCCAGTATATTAACGCAAGAAACGTATGTTTAAAACATAAAATTCAGCTTTTTTTTTCTCCTTTCAATTTAAATATATAATGGTAGTTAATCCATGAAATATTTTAGCTTGGTCTGTCCTGAAATGTCAGAAGATGATTTGGAGAAAGGGATGATAACTGAAGAGCCAGCAGGTTCTAAACTTTGGGTCGGAAAAGACTATACAAATTTCATTCTTAAGGATTTTGAAAATCTCGACCTCCCTTTTCAAGGTTTGAATTTTAAGTCGATATAAATTATATATGCTATATGTAGTATAAGAAGTACATGCTTGGTGATCAATTTTTTTTCTAAAAATTATTTAGATCTTGTGGATCGTACCAAAACGGCAAGAATGCCATGGCATGATGTCGGTGTTATGGTGAAAGGTACTGCAGCCAGGGATTTAGCAAGGCATTTTATACAGAGATGGAATGCTGTGAAGGTATTTTATTATTATTATTTTCATTGTTCAATTTGTAAAACTATTTTTTTAAAAAATTGGTTAGCTCGAAAAATCAAAGATCAATCCCCAGTATCCGTATCTTCTTCCGAAGTCATACAATGAGTATTCACACTTCGAATTGCCGGGTGTTAGGGAGATCAGTGCCTCGTGTCAGGTATTTAAAAATAAAAATAGTTTCAAGTTCAAATGAATACTTAAGAAATCTATTCTCGTTTTTTTAGGTTGTGAGGAGTTTGTCACAATGGTCTGGTGGATTCATCGATCAAGAAACATGGGAGGGGAGCATTCACGAAGCGTTAGTTGACGCCATTGCCAAAGCAAGATATTACGTTTACATTGAAAATCAATTTTTCATTTCACTCGGTTCTCAATCATCTCAAGTCAGGAACCAAGTGGCTGATGCTCTTTTTAAAAGGATCGTACGAGCTCACAGGTATTCAAAATATATATAAAAAATTTGATTTAAATAATTTGGGCTTGTTTAATCTCCAGGGAAGGTAGTGTGTTCAGAGTATTTGTCGTCCTTCCGTTACTACCAGGTTTTGAGGGTGAAGTCGGTACACCAAGTGGTACAGCTCTTCATGCAATAACCCACTGGAATTATGCATCAATTTGCAGGTATGCTGAATGCTTTGAAAACTATAAAAAATATAAACAAGGTTTTGTCCTTTTGAGTTATTTTACTTTTTTACTCTTTTATCAGTGTAACATCCTTATTTTTGATTGAAAAGTTGCAATTTTTTTTCTAGAGGAAAAAATTCATTAATTATGAGATTAAAAGATGCAGGCATACCTGACCCAGATGAATATATCACATTTCATGGCTTAAGGACACACTCCATTTTGAACAAAGCTCCGGTACATAAAATGGTTTCATTTCAAATCGATTCAAAATGTATTAATTCAATTCAATTTGTAGATCACCGAACTTATCTATGTTCATTCCAAATTGTTGATAGCCGACGACCGATTAATGATATGCGGATCTGCTAACATAAACGACAGATCACTGTTGGGAAAGAGAGATTCCGAGATTGCTGTCGTCATCGAAGACGAGGAGTTTAAAGAAGGACAGATGAACGGAGCGACATTTTTAAGTGGGAAACTTTGCGGAGCGCTGAGAAGATTTTTATTTAAAGAGCACCTGGGGATTCTTGGCAGTCAACAGCCTACGATTGATGTAACTGACCCTATCTCACGCGCATTTTATCACAATGTTTGGAGGAGAATTGCAAAGTCAAACTCTGAGATTTATGAAAAAGTATTTCCTTTTCATCCTCATCTATGAGTAACTTTTTTACAAATTTGCTTTCTTTTAGGTTTTTCATTGTATACCATCAGATCAAATAAAAACTTTCAAAGATCTTAACAATGAGATATACTACCCTAAATGCTTGTATGATCCTGAAGCAGCCGTAAAAGATTTAGAAGGGGTTCAAGTAATTTTTTTTAAAAATTTGATTAATGTTTACATAATATACTAATTTAAATTAAATTATTTTTAGGGTCATCTCGTTATGTTTCCTTTAGAGTTTCTAAAAGATGAAGTTCTAACTCCTAATCCAATGGGTGTCCAAGGAATGCTGCCGACATCCCTTTGGACGTAGAAATATGGTGTAACAAATATAATTATGGTGATGCTGGGTTTTCGCCTGCGAATCGATGACTTGCTGAACCAGCACTGGGCTACTATTTCACTAATTGGGTCCATCTTTGCATTTATTAGTGAAGCGCCTGTTCAGCATGAAATATAATTATGTTGCTTACCTTTGTGAAAAAAATTATCAGTAAATAGTGAAAAGAAGCTTTAGACTATAATTTTAAAACCCATCTCAGTGAAATTGCCTTTTGAGCTTCAGATGAAAAACTTGCGCAACTACAATATTAGTAGCACTATTCTAGGTTTTATACTTTTAATTGTAATGTTAATTCTCATAAAAAAACATATCAGTTTGGAACAATGGAAAGATTGTCTAAACTTTTCTTTATATACAATATATTTTTAAATAAAAGAGTTCATAAAAATGTAGAAATGTTTACACTGTTTAAAAAACCCTAACTGTACTGCAAAAATTGTCAACTTATATAAAATAAAATGACTGTAAAAATTATCAACATAATTAAAATTAAAATTTTGTGGATATTGCTTTTACATACTAGTAGATTAATTGCTTTTATCAGTGGTTTTGTGTGTTTACAGGATGTACAGAATTTTGTCATTTCAGTTATTATCTGTCTATGAGAAAACAATGAGGAATCCACTCGAGAGAAATGGTGTCTTTTACTTACTTATATACTTACTACATCACAGATACTTCACATTTTACATACTTACGAAATGTGCGTAGGAGATACACTATAAATGTCAGAATCCTGAAGCATCCCTGATGGACAAATTCTGAAAAAAAAACAAAAAAAAAAAACAAAAAAAAACAGGCCATGATGAACTGAGATGATAAAGCATTAGCAACAAAATTTTGGGCACTCTCAACACGACACACAAGAATGACACATCTACACAGAAAACAAACACTTTGAGCCCTGAAGATGATCTCAATAAAGATCGAAACGTTGGCACGATAAAGAAAATGTTTTTCTTAAACCTACATCACAGTCACACCAGACCGCATCTCACGACCTCCAAGTAATCATTAGCAACAAAGTTTTTATTTTAACATGCTCATTGGCCAGTTTAAAAGTCAGTTTTAGAGGACCGCAATAGCTGAGTGTTCAGTGTGATAGTCTCTCAGTTCCCTGGAATCGTGGGTTCGATTCCCACTTTCACCCCTGGCCCTTTTTTCATGCAACCCCCGACCCTAAAAAAATAAAAAATATACGCATCGCATATGAGAAATAACGTCCCTTGGCAAAGTTCATAAGGCTATTTAAAAAAAGTTTTAAAAACTTAACACTTGAAAATGTGAATGTTCTAACTATGTTAACATTTTCCAGTGTGATCTGATTCGAGCAAATTTTATCCGGTAGTCTGTTGATGTTATCTTCTTGATGTAAAACTTAATTCCTGTTCTCCAAGACTGAAGATATCGCCACTTTAAAATTTTAAAACTAAGAACATGTATTTTTGTACGTGTACGTGGCAATTCACTGATATCTGTTTTACCTGAATTGCTTGCAAGTGAGTGAAGGAATTCAACTCGCAGATTAAAAATTTTAGAATCATATTATGAGATTTAGATATCCTATGAACTTTACGACCAGTATAATAAAAATAAAGTTCCTTTCGTAGCAGAAGATGCTTTATATTCACATTAATTAGCAAGCAAGTCTTTAATAAGAAATTACTTGAATTTCTTTTTTATTGCTTCTTTTTAGATCAAGGGTGGGTTTGAAAATGTTGAACTCACAACACAAGAAAATTACCAATATCTGCCTTGACATTTGTTATTTATTCGTGGTCATTTCGCCATGTACACAAATCTAGATTCATGGCTGTTAGCAGCTAGAATAATGCTCTTTCCCACCCCTTGGATTGTCAAAAAATAATGTAAAAGCGCAATAATTGTCAATAGGTCGCAATGAATATGATGTGGATTTATTTATATGACACTTAGAATTCAAATCACGTGGGAAGTTAAGATATTCTTCTCCTAAATGTCTTCCAACTTCATGGAATCAACTGAGAAAAGTAATTTTCTTTTTCTCCCTGCCTTCACCTGGAAAATTCAACTTCTGAATCAATTCAATTACAGTGTCTTTACCGCTAAAATATTTTATTTTCTTCTTATTTTTTAGCAACCTTATTTTTTTTAAATGAAAAATTAACAATCTGTTCTAGTAGAAAAAAAAACAACAGAGAAAAGTGATATAATAAAAAATAAGGTATTTAAAAATTATAATTCATTAATTTATTTTGTCTAGAAAGTTAATATATTCAATATAGAGGGTGAATAATTGTTGGTTTTCCAAATGTTTACAAAGAGATTTGAATAACGTAAATATTTATTAGGTTGATCAATGTGATAAGGTCGGAGTTTTCATTACTCAACTTTTGAATTCAGTAAACTTTGCCAATATTTGTCCAAACAAATAAAAAATAAACACTTTTTTAAATAAGTTTTATTCTTAATAGCATTTGTAGGCAAGATGGCGACTGGGCTTGGAATGTTTTGACATCTGTTTATTGTTCTGTTGTGTGCTAATGAGAAAAAATGGATTCTGTTTTATAAAACAATTAGAGAGAGATAATTTGCAAGTTATGTTCTCAAAAATTACGAGGAATGTGCAATTTAGAAAAGTACGCCTGACAAGAAAGTATCTAGGTTTAGGTAAGCCTATAACGCAATTACTGTAATGGCGCAGTTTTTTTATAGGTTTAATTTTCTTCAAAACACGCACTTTACCACTTCCGAATATTGAAATTTTTGTCTGATATTTTTCAAGACAAAAAGTAAGTAACAAAAAAGTACAAACCAAGAAACAATTTAAACATAACGCTTTATTATTATTCCATGCTCAAAACGTATTAGAATACATACAGGGTGTTCGGATACTCCTGTTTCAAATTTTGTCTGTAGATTCTACATTCAAAATGAAACCAAAAAGTTCTAATTAATTATTGTCCGAATCTAAAAAGTTTAGGAGTTATTCCACTTTTTATGATTTTTTAAGATTTCACCACCTTGCTTCAAATAAACAGTGATAACTACAAAACTAAAAGGTTTTGTACAAATCTGTTTATACCACTGAAAACTACGTTAAATTTCCAGTAAGATGTGATCAATACTAAACTTGTAAACGTTGGTGAAATTAGCGTTTTAGTAGCAAGAACTTTGAAGAATAATTTTTTTTTCGAAGTTGAAAAACATTCAATGGTGATTTGAACCTATTATTTTCAAACCTAGAGACCAGCAAGTTTCAGAAAACGTACCCCATTTAATATCCTTTTTAGTGGTGTAATTTCTTTTTTAATTAATTTTTTCAAAGGTGAAGAAATTAATGGAGGAAAGGAAAAAAAAACGTGGCTGACAGATTGGTTGGGTGGAAAATTAAAAAAAAACTTGAGGAAATTTTGAATGAATTTATTAAACGGTTTTTTAATTTGGGTTCCAAATCGAAATAGTGCAAGTGTTTTCTTATTTACCAACACGACTGCCACCTTAAAAAATCAGAAAAAATGAAAACGTACTATGGTGATTTTAAACTACTATTTCCAACTCTAGAAACTATCAAATTTAAGGAAACGAACTCCATTTAATATTGTTTTTAGTGGAATAATTGCTTTTTTTAATTATGTTTTCAAAGATGAAGAAATTTCTGACGGAAAGGAAAAAAAACCTGGTTGACGGATTGGTAAGGTGGAAAGATTAAAAAAAAAACTTAAGGAAATTTTGAATACATTTATTAAACATTTTTTAAAATTTTGATTCGAAATGCTGCTCTCCACCCTCCGCAATGCACAAACAAGCTGTCGTATTAGCCACCGTAACTCGAAAGTTTATTTAAGTTTAAGCTTTTCAGCAGCGACAGGATCGTTGCTTTAAAATTACGACGTTTGCCACTTTCGTATGGTACACTTCACTCTTCATGAATCCCCAAATGAAATAGTCCAAGGGGGTCAGGTCAATAATAACATAATACAATAATCCTTTAATCAAAGTTGCAGTCGTGTTGGTTAATAAGTAAACACTTGTACTATTTTGGTTTCGAACCCAAATTAAAAAAGTTTAATAAATTGATAAATAATTGAAGGGGGAGAATAATATTGATTTTTTTAAAATGGCCTTTTGAACTGTGCATATTAGCCATATTTGCATATATNATCATCATCATCACGTTCCTTGGCTAATATGCAAAGTTCAAAAGGCAGTGCGTCGAAAATACATTGCGGAGGGTGGAGAGCATTTCGAATCAAAAATGAAAAAGTTTAATATATTCATTCAAAATTTCCTTAAGGTTTTATTTTTTATTGTTATTAATTGTTTCACCTTACCAATCCGTCAGCCACGGTTTTTCCTTTCCTCCATCAATTTCTTCATCTTTGAGAACATTAATTAAAAAAGAAATTACACCACTAAAAGGATATTAAATGGAATACGTTTTCTGAAATTTGCTGGTATCTAGGTTTGGAAATAGTAGTTTAGAAATACCATAGTAAGTTTTTCAACTTTGAAAAAAAAAGAAAAAATATTTTTCAAAGTTCTCGCTACTAAAACGCTGATTTCACGAATGTTTACAAGTTTAGTATTAATCACATCTTAACCTAATTTTCAATGGTATCAACGGATTTGTCCAAAACCTTTTAGATTTGGAGTTATCGTTGTTTTTTGAAGCAAGATCGTGAAATATTATCGAGAAATAAATATAATCATAAAAAGTGGAATAACAGTTAAACTTTTGAGATTCGGACCATAGTTAATTAGGACTTTTTGGTTTCATTTTGAATGTAGAATCTATTGGCAAAGTTTGTAACACAAGTAGCCGAACACCCTGTATAAACTGTCCATTTTCTTCTTGTATATCTTTTTTAATTAATTTATTGTTATTAATTGTTCCACCTTACCGATCCTTCAGCCACAGTGTTTAGTTTTCTTCCATCAATTTCTTCATCTTTGGAAAAAGTAATTAAAAAAGCTATATACAAAAAAAAGATATATATAAAAAATATATATAAGATACACCACTAAAAAGGATATGAAATGGAATACGTTTTCTGAAATTTGCTGGTATCTAGGTTTGGAAATAGTAGTTTAGAAACACGATGGTAAGTTTTTCAACTTTGAAAAAATTTTTTTTTCAATGTTCTCGCTACTAAAACGCTGATTTCTCGAATGTTTACAGGTTTAGTATTTATCACATCTTATCATATCTTAACGTAGTTTTCAATGGTATTAACGAATTTGTCCAAAACCTTTTAGTTTTGGAGTTATCGTTGTTTTTTGAAGCAAGGTCGTGAAATATTAAAAAATCATAAAAAGTGGAATAACTCCTAAACTTTTGAGATTCGGACCATAGTTAATTAGGACTTTTTGGTTCCATTTTGAATGTAGAATCTATTGGCAAAGTTTGTAA